AAAATCCTTCTTAGGGGATGCTTAAGTAATAGTAGCTTTATGCATGCAAAGTCTCAGCTCGATCGGTTTAAAATTGACAAAGTTTCATCCCCTATTTTATTCCCTTGGGTGTAGAATTAATCAAAATCCTATCTTAGCGGATGCCTATGTCATAACATCTACCTGCATGCCAAATTTCAGCCCGATCCGTCCAGTAGTTTGGGCTGTGCGTTGATAGATCACTATGTCAGTCACCCTTGAGTTATATATAGATTACATGTACACCCGTGTTCTCCATCCAGCGGTTTAGCTCACCGCCTTACTTCCGATGATCGCGAATTCATCCCTCGAATGGTACAGACATTTGTATCAATGACTATGATTGTATCAATCTGGGTGTTTTCTATGTAATATATATATAGAAAACGTATGTATTTACAGAAAAAGTATCTATGTATTTATATCAGTTGTCTAGTGCTCATATTTTTTTTATTGGGATTTTGGGGCTATTGTCAGATGCCTGTAGCATCTATAGCACTGCGACCTACGTAGATCTATCGTGCTCGCCCTTTTTTCAGAGTCTGCTACCTAGACCCGTTAGGGACAAGAATTGAAGGATATTCTTAGGAGCGATGGTTTTTATCTCCTCGGGAAAGAGTGTAAACTTTCCAAAGGAGATATTTCGTTTATGCATGAGTGGGCTACAACCACATAGGATGTGAAGCGGCGTTTCCTCTTCAGTTTGGCAGAATGTACAGATTCTTGTCGTGCATAGGCCTAGTTTAGCCATATGCTTGTTTAATTAGCAGTGTCCTGTGAGGGCCCTAGTCATCATGCATATGTTGTTTTTACTCAATAGCAGTAGTCTATTGGAGTATTTGTTCGAGTAGCCCGATATTAGGGCTTTTGAATGTGTTAATCCTGGCATTTCTTGCCAGTGATTCAGTGCTTCTCGTTTGGTTATTACAACACGAGCTCTGCTTAGCCTAGAACTAGATGGCGCTGTATGAATTGATGGCTATCACCTACCATTATTGACCGTCAGTGTAACAGTTACATAAAAAAATGTATAAAGAAACAACAATACTCCATTACGATCCAAAAAAGGTAGCGACATGACCTTTTATTTCTATTATAATACCATCTTAACAACATTGACAGACAGACAAATAAATAGCGCCGATCTCCACAATAGGGAACGTGTGTGGCAAACCGGAGTTATATAATTTGCGTTTATTAAGACCATTATTTGAACATTAACAAACAAGAGTTATTTAAGCTTTTTTATGTATGATATTGAAATGCACCATTTGTATTTTTGTTTGTGTCAGTCTGGGTCTGAGATGAGTCTGATATAGACCTACATGAATAAAGATATTTTGAATTTGAATTTGTGTGGTTGTATCATGCATAAACGAAATATCTCCTTTGGAAAGATTACACTCTTTCCCGAGGAGATAAAAACCATCGCTCCTAAGAATATCCTGCAATTCCTGTCCCTGACGGGTTTAGGTAGCGAACTTTGAAATAAGGCGAGCACAATAGATATATATAGGTTATATTTGTGTGGTTGTACTTCACTGCAGTCCAGTTCATGCATAAACGAAATATCTCCTTTGGAAAGTATACGCTATATCCTGAGGAGATAAACATCATCGCTCCTAAGAATATCCTTCAATTCTTGTCCCTGACTGGTCTAGGTAGCGAACTTTGAAATAAGGCGAGCACAATAGATCTATGTAGGTCACATTTGTGTGGTTGTGGTATTGGTATGGTTGGTACACCTGACAATAGTCTAAACCAAAATAAAAAAAAATACTAATAAAAATGCATTGTGAAACGGATATTAATTAAAAAAAAAGACATATTACCATAAATCTGTGCGATTAACCTAGCAATAATTCATTGCCTCACTTAATCTGCCTCAAAAGCCTTAAGGCTGTGTTTACACATGCCTAACCAGACTTATTCTAAATAACAAATATACTTATGCAACATAGAAATAGAAAACAACGATTTTTATTGTTCAACTAATGATTTTTTTTAATTAGAAAATTTGTTAATATTCGTTATTTATTGCAATGTTACTTTTTAAGTAATTAGAATAACAAATCAAAAATAATTTATTCATTTTGGAGATTGTTGTCGATTATGAACGAAAAGTTTTTTGTATTAATATTTGCTTCTCTACCGTTCAGTTCAGTTCAGTTCAGGCAAACATTGAAAAACTTACGCGGCTCGCACTAAGACGTGAACTTGCACCCCCCAGGTGGGTGCGGAGAACTTGTGTGTGTCTGTCTGTTGTTACAACTATACTAGATTAATAAGGTTTGTCTGGAACTGCAGTAAATTTTATATTAGAACGTGTATGTAAATTCAAATTCAAATTCAAAAATCATTTATTCATGTAGGACATTTTAGCCGCTTATGAACGTCAAGTTTTTTAGATTATAATTTTTTTCTCTACCGTCCGAAATAACAGGCTCAAGATTTGCCTGGGCAGGGAAAGAAACTCGAGCGGTGAAGGCGAGTGTTTACGTACGGAAAGGAGCCCCATAAACCTACACCCAGTATACAATTAAATTTAATTAGATGTACATTATATTTGACCTTTTTTTTCGTTTGTTTTTTATATTGTGTGATTGTATTGTATTTTTTATATTGTTGAAAAAGCACTGAATAAAATATTATTCTTTCTTTCTAACTCAAAAATTAAAAATTTTGGAAATTCCACTTTATACCTGCGGCATTAAAGTCTAATTTCAAAAAAATATTTAACAAGTTGCCAAAGGAGTTAAAACAATTAAATAAAAGCAAATTAAAAAAAGAATTGTATAATTAGTTGTTATCTAACTGCTTTTATAATATAGACGAATACCTTTCACAAATGGTGAAAAAGTGACTAATACTAACAAATTAATTAATTATAATAATATATGTATGTAATGATGAGCAATGTATAATGACAATATTTCAATTGACAATTGTCTGTTGCATGTCAGAAATGACTAAATGTGCGAACAATATAATAATATTCAAAATCATCCACATCCAATGTACATTTTAGGCAATAAAATTTCATTTCATTTTAAAAATTTTTAATTTCTGACACCAGTATTGCACTACATATGTTCGTATATAAAAATCCATACTATAATCATAGACATGTCATGACATGTCACACAGTACATTACGAACAAAGCAGAGGTCAAGTAATCTAATATAACAATCACGTGATATGATGACATATAAATTGCATCTGACATACAATGCATGTAATTTAGACTTTATGCGTGAAGCAATAAAGGCCATGGAAAGTAGAGGGAAATTATTTCGGATTGGTACTATCATTGTCCTGCTATTGAAAGTAAGGAGGTGGCTTCTGTTTTTACACGACTGCAAAAAGGAGGATAATGTTTATGTATTGCCAGCTACCCAGGTGTACAATAGTGTACAGGTTTTATATATATAAACCTTCCTCTTGAATCCTCTTGAATCAATCAAGGTACAGTATGGTTGGAAACTCTTTTTCAAGCACGCAAACAAGTTGACGGGCAATACAATTTTCTCTATCCAACCTAGAAATTGTTTAGCGATAAGACCGCCTTTTGTATCAGTTAATAAGTATATATTTAGTATTTAAACTATTTCCTATATTTAATGCAATGAAGAGTGTAAATAAATAAATAGATAGATATACCAGATGCGACATTCGTTTTCTTAAAAAAATATAACTATTCAAAAGTGTACTGAGTTTATTTGAATAAAGATTATTTATATATAATCTATAATAATAATCTCCGGACAATTCACACAGCGCAATCCAGTCCCAAGTTAAGCTATTTAAATCTTGTGTTAGGGGTACCTACTCGATAACTGATACAAGTACATAGATATTTTTTTTGTAAATACATACTTAGAAAACACCCAGACCGATACAAACAATCATACTCATGAATACAAATTTTTGTGCCGTGCGAGGAATCGAACCCGCGACCATCGGACGTAAAGCGGTGTGCTAGACCGCTAGACTACCGAGGTCGTCAGATCAATTATCACCATATATACTCTTACAGAAAGTATTTGGTCCAATAAAGATAAATGAATAAATAGAAAGCGACATTAATTTTTTTATAAAAACATGACTTCAGATAAACTCAGTATACTTTTGAGTATACTGAGTTTATCTGAATAAAGAATATTTCTATTTCTATAAAAAAACATCTCTCCATATTTATTTAGCTGACAGGATGCAGTTGTGACGAAAATATAGAGTCGCAATGATGTACCATAGAGGCAACCAAGATAATCACGCAGATACAAATTGACATACAGACAAAATTACGGCGCGTACCTCACGTAACTGCAATCAAGTATGTAATGGTACTCATCTTGTTCTGATGATATATGGCTAGTTCAGAAATCTATTCACCTACTTCAATAACTTGTTCTTATAAAAAACTAGCTACTCACCCCGGCGTCGCACGGGTGTGCATGTATTGTATATATAAATCTTCATCTTGAATCACTCTATCTATTAAAAAAACCGCTTCAAAATCTGTTGCGTAGTTTTAATGATTTAAGCATACATAGAGACAGACAGTGATAGCGACTTTGTTTTATACTATGTAACTAGCTCTTCGCCTCGGCTTTGCACGGGTGTATGTGTATTATATATATATATATATATATATATATAATTTTCATCTTAAATCACTCTATATATTAAAAAAAGCCGCTTCATTGATTTCATTACTAATTAGTCATAGAACTAAGAAATTATTGATTTAATTTAGTCATGGAATTCTGTAAATTAGTCATGGATCTAAGCAATTATTGAGTTTAATCTAGTCATATAATTCTGTAAATTAGTCATAGAACTAAGAAATTATTGATTTAATCTAGTCATGGAATTCTGTAAATTAGTCATGGATCTAAGTAATTATTGAATTAAATCTAGTCATAGAATTCTGTAAATTAGTCATAGAACTAAGCAATTATTGAATTAAATCTATTCTTACCTTACTACTGCACGAGTCCATGATGAATTTTGTACCTGAAAATTGATGTAATGTTAATATAAGTCGGATTTATTTCAATTATTTCACTATTAGTTAAATTCCATCGTCACTATTGCTTATTAACTCAATAAATAAACATATATATATACTAGCTACTCGCCCTGGCTTCGCCCGGGTATACATGTATTATACATATAAACCTTCCTCTAGAATCTCTCTATCTATTAAAAAAACCACTTCAAAATCCGTTGGATAGTTTTAAAGATTTAAGCATACATAGGGTTGGACAGACAGGGACAGCGACTTTTGTTTTATACTATGTGAGTATGGATGGATGTTTGTTACTCTTTCACGCAAAAACTACACAACGGATTTTGTTGAAACTTTACAGTAATACAGTTTACAGTAGCTTACACATCAGAGTAACACAACTATAAATGTCATGCGGATGAAATCGCGGGCATAGCTAGTATTAATATATGTTGAATTTATTTCAATTATTTCACTATTAGTTAGTTAACTTTCTTTGTCGCTATTTTTTATAGCTAATACGAGTAAATCATCGTTACATAGTCATGACATAGTATAAAACAAAGTCGCTGTCGCAGTCTGTCCCTATGTATGCTTAAATCTTTAAAACTACGCAACGGATTTCGAAGCGGTTTTTTTAATAGATAGCGTGATTCAAGAGGAAGGTTTATATGTATAAACATGTACACCCGGGCGAAACCGGGGCGAGTAGCCAGTATATTATATAACGATCTACTTTAGGGGAGAGTAGTTGAACGGTGTTGTACTTTATGCAAAGTCGTCTGTGTAAATACTTTTTCATACATTTCCGCAGTTAACTTTGTAAGCTATGATTTGATGGATGAAAAGAAAGAAAGAAAATTGTTTATTTGGGTTGGGTGAGATATGGCCGTAAAAATATTTGTTTGTTTTCTGAATGACTTTGAAATGTTTTTTATTTTTTTTACTGTTATATATTTTTTATACAAATAACGTTACCTCGAAAAATATGCAGTACTTACGCGAAGTACTGCATATTTTTATACAAATATCAGCTCGTAGACTGTAAACGAAGCCCGGTCGCCCAAGTACTGCATATTTTTTTATTACAAAAATGTTTTTTATTCATATAACGTTATTTAGTACATTCTAGACGAAGCCCGGCCGCCTAGGTACTGCATTTTTTAAATACCAAACTATTAGTTTATATACAAATAATGTCATAGTAGATTCTAAACGAGGCCCGATCGCCCAAGTACTGCATTTTTTTTTAATACTAAACTATTTTTTTATACTAATAATGACATCTAGTAGACTCTAAACGAAGCCCCGTCGTCCAAGTACTGCATATTAATAGTTCATAGATAATAAAATGACTATTATAAGCAATAAATGGCCATTAATTTTATTTATCTGACTGTACCTTTATTAATAGTATCTGTGTGCGAAGATGACAGGTGTTTAAAAAGCTATTTCTCTAATGTGTTACTAGTTATTATATACTAGCTGATCCGCGCAACTTCGTCTGCGTTTCATTTCCCCACCATTTACAATATTTTCCATTGCAAATCCGCTTCTATTGGTCGTAGCGTAATATTACATATCTTAAAGCCTTCCTCGATAAATGGATTCCTATTGAATACAACAATATTTTTTTCATTTCGAATCAGTAGTTCCTGAGATTAGCGCGTTCAAACAAACAGACTCTTCAGCTTTATAATGTTAGTATATATTAGAATACATAGATTGTACAATAATGTATGTAATTTAAGTAAAAAAAAGAACATCTTCTAAATATATATAACTCAAAGGTGACTGACATAGTGATCTATCAACGCACAGCCCAAACCACTGGACGGATCGGGCTGAAATTTGGCATGCAGGTAGATATTATGACGTAGGCATCCGCTAAGAAAGGATTTTAATTAATTCTTGGGGGTCCAAGGGGATAAAATAGGGGATGAAAGTTTATATGAAACTTCGTCAATTTTAAACTGTTTGGGCTGATACTTTGCTTGCATAAACCGACAATAAGAAAGGATTTTGATAAATTCCACCCCTAAAGGGATAAATTAACGCGAACGAAGCCGCGAGTAAAAGCTAGTTTTATAATATTAGTATAGATTATAACAATCGTATTAATATTAATAACCCTTGACAATTTATATTTAACTATCAGATCTGGCCACGCGTTGCTGTGAATATTGCGACTATAAATTGAGATGTAAGCTATCCTATCTTTCAAGTTGAATCAAATTGCACACATTGTGCAAATCGCTTACGCTGGCAGGGCAGTGGAGGATGATAAGATGAGCATGAGGTCAGGTCAATTAGCCCATCGTGCTAAATTCACCATGAATTCATTACGATGGCTTCCAGGGGGGACCATATCGAGGTCAACCTGATATGGTACTTTGGGTTACTATTCCCCAATACTGCCAGTATTGGGGAATATATGTCAAGAATTTCATTTACTCCTATAAATGTATATTTGTCAATACGTATGATACATATGTCGAGCGCAGTGATGGCTAGCTCATCCGTCATACTCGTGAACGAGTGCTGCTTGTAGGGACTGGTCTGCTCTTATCACTACGACTGATTTAATCTTATTGTATATTTATATTTGACCCAAAAAATTAGTGCTGGTTGGTAGTTTGTATTCACACGTTTCGACTTGTAAATGTAAACTTACAAGGATTATTTAAAAGAGTAACACACAAGTTTCTTGCTCGTTCTTCTTGTGATGAGACAGCTTTCCGAACGAGTGGTAGATAAAAAACAAATTGTTATGACTATTCAAAAGTGCTTAAATTAAGTTTATTTGAATAAATGATTTCTATTCTATTCTATTCTTAACTTCGGTCTAGATGGCGCTGTGTGAATTGTCCTGAAGTTATTTATTTACTTCTATGGCTACCCCGTCTAGGATAAGAGTCGTGAAGGTATATTAATGTAATTGTAATGTTCAATTCTCAGTACGAGGCGGCCGTCGTAAACACAATTCAATCGCGTGGGATTATTTCACAAGTTACTTGATTAACTTAACCATTAAGTTAGGGGACAAAGCCGTAAACTTCTCGAGTCTTTTTAAACGTCGCCGAGTTATTTCTTGTTCTAAAACGGGATTTGCATTGAATTTAAAAATAAGTGTTAAGTTTTTTTTTATTATTTTCAAAAATACATTCATTCATACTGACATTATGGTGTAATGCGTAATTTTGTTTGTTAAATATAGTAATAATAATAATAATCTCAGGACAATTCACACAGCGCCATCTAGATCCAAGTTAAGCTAGCTAAAGCTTGTGTTATGGGTACTATTATGACTGCAAACTGCTTAATCGTTTTTGATGAAATTTCAATGTTAGTTACATAAAATATTTATAGTATATAAATAGTTATATAAAAATGTATCTAATAATAATATCGGGAGCTCGATAAATAAGTAAAACATGGTATGATCTAATTGTACGTACCTATCTATACATATAAATAAAATTGGAGTGTCTGTTTGTAATATTGAAATAATCGTTGTACACATACATGAATATAAATACGGTACACACACCAAAATAACATTCTTTACAATTTTTGTCTGTCTATCTGTTTATTCTGGCTAATCTAAGAAATGGCTGGATCGATCTTGACGGCACGGATTTTTTGGCAGGTAGCTGATGTAATAAGGAGTAATTTGGTAATGTTATTTTAGAAATATTCTTTTATTTAGAAGAACAAAGTTAAATTCCACGCGACTTATTCGCGTGGAATTTAATAGCTAGTCGTTAATATAACTGAGTTAATATAGACTATATTATTGTAATATTTAAATTTGAATAGTATATTTTGAAAACTGCTTAATCGTTTATGATAAAAAAAAATCTCAGGCACAGCACTTGGACTACAGAACGTAACAAAAACTATAAACAAACATATATTTTTTTTCTCAGACACGGGATTCCTGTTACTGAGCCACATAAACTATAAACAATTTCCTGGCATTTTTTTTCACAAAAAAAAGTCAACGCATCTTCAAGACAGGTCGATGGTACGATTAATTATGCGTAGGCACTATGGTGCACCCATAAACAATAAGGAAGTGTGGTAATTGCGAAAATGGTAAACTTCAACAGGTAAATGGTTGGAGATAGTTATCGAAACTTGTCGACAAAAAAAAAACTGAATTTTAATGAAAAAAAAAAACGTAAAGATAAGTTTATTTGAAGGTCTTTACGTTAAATTTATTTTTATTTAAATAACCAGGTAGTTTATTACGAAAATACTTTTGTAATATACTACAATAATAATTATATCTTCATAACGAATATCCTAAACGGAGTAGTCAGAGGTATTGTCAACTTTCGACGACATTTGAAACACTATCACTGTTTGTCGATTTGTTAACGGTGTTTTTATTACCGGTGAGTCAGTGTCGGTCAGATTTGAAATTATTACCTTTCGATCGAAACATTGCATATGTTTAGAATGAAAATCAAATTCTTTCAAACTCAAAATCTTATCTATATTATATGACTAGCTGTTGCTCGCGGGTTAGCTCGCGTTAATTTATCCCTTTAGGGGTGGAATTTATCCAAGTCCTTTCTTAGGGGATAAATACGTCATAGTAGCTTTATGCAAGCAAAGTCTCAGCCCGATCGGTTTAAAATTGACGAAGTTTCATATAAACTTTCATCCCCTATTTTATCCCCTTGGGGGTAGAATTAATCAAAATCCATTCTTGGCGGATGGCTACGTCATAACATCTACCTGCATGCCAAATTTCAGTCCAATCCGTCCAGTGGCTTGGTCTGTGCGTTGGTAGATCACTATGTCAGTCACCTTTGAGTTATATATATTTAGATAAAAACTGGGAATATACACAATTTTTACTTTTACCTATTCTATTTCATTAGCTTATCATTACATAGTATAAAACAAAGTCGCTGTCGCTGTCTGTCTTATATCTTTAAAACTACGCATTGGATATAATAGATAGAGAGATTCAAGAGGAAGGTTTATATGTACTATACATGTACATCCGTGCGAAGCCGGGGTGGGTAGCTAGTTAGTCACATAACGTCGCTCTATCGGCCCGATTTCTACCAATGACGTTCTATGAAATCGATCGATTTATTATAATCGATCGAATTCATAGAACGTCACTCAACGTTTGACGTTCTCTATGAATTCGATCGATCAATACAATCGATCGAATTCATAGAGAACGTCAATATAATCGAAAATGTAATGTTTTTTCGAATTATGTTTTCATCATAACGTTTCATAAGAGATTATTTCATTTCATAGTTAGCTACTCCAGGAGTTACAGTAACGTTACATAATCCATACGGACGGTCTTCAAACTGTAATTTAAAACAAATCAGTCGTATCAGACGACTAAAGTGATAATAAAATGTTACAGAGATATGTCTTATGAGATATACGATTGCATCGAACAAATCAACCAATGGCTTTATAATTGGGACAAAATTATTGTAGTTTTATTTATTTATTTATTAAATTAATCCTTACTAATATTATAAATACGAAAGTAACTCTGTCTGTCTGTCTATCTATCTCGCTTTCACGCTTGCACAGCTAGTAGAATATAAACTTACAGCCAATGGAAATACAGCTTATGAGAGTGAATTAAAGAAAGAGATAGAGACAAGTCAATTGGTTCCATAGCATTAATTACTAGCTGTGCCCGCATCTTCGTCCGCGTGTTATAGTGACCTCGACCAAACAAAGAAAAAATAGAAAGAGGTAAATAAAATGAACAATTTTCCATTACAAACTTCTTCAAAAAAGGAGGATTCCCTTAGGTTAAATTTTTTACCCCCTTAAGGGTAATATTTTTACAATCTTTGAATGTCATATTTATTTGTATTTATACAACAACCTCAAAAATAAGGTTTAAACTTCTTTTAATTATTATTACTTATAATAAAATGAAGTTTAGTCCTAGGATCGATGGTTTTTATTTCCTCAGGATAGAGTGTATACTTTCCAAAGGATAAGAATTGTTAATTGTTATTAAATAAAAATATAATTCATTTTACTATTGCTTGCAATTAAATAAATATTAAAACTCGTTTGGTTGTCGCAAGCTTTATTCTTAAGTTACAAAAGCCGAGTCAAATGCACGTAACTTGCTGTAATCTACGATTTAATTAACTTAAATCCAACTTACGAATGCAACTTGAGGAGTCGTGGTTAGTAACCGCGGATTACTTTGTTGACACGGTTATTTATTTAGATGTCTTTGAAAATGGTTAACTGTTAATTAAGGTACAGTGTAATTTTAACTTTCATTAAGTTAATATTTAATGGTTGGATGGTTATTTAATAAATTAGGTTATGTTGTAAGAGGAGGTATGAAGGGAAGTAAGTTTGTTGTGTCCTTGAAGGTTAAATAGATCTATCTTCACTTCACTAAAAAGAGCAACACACAAGTTTCTTGCTCAATCTTCTTGTGATGAATCTGCATTCCGAATAAGTGGTACAATCAAAATTTGACTATTCAAAAGTGCTTGTAATGAGTTTATTTGAATAAAGATTATTTCTATTTCTATTTCTTCACGCTAGTTTTCTTATGGGATTAGCAGAGACAATCCAGTGCCATAGAGTTCAGATCCTTTAATAATATATTGTTTTGATTTATGACAGTCTAGCGGTTTTGCATACCGTTTTACTTCCGATAGTCGCGGGTTCTATTCCTCGCACGGTGCAAACATTCTGTGTTCATGAGTACTTGTTTGCATTGGCCTGGCTATTTTCTATGTATAATATGTAAAAAATAGCAAAAAAATGTCTTTGAATATTTATATCATTTGTCTAGTACTGATAACACAAGCTCCGATTGGCTTGGAATTAGATGATGCTGTGTGAATCGAATCTTCCAGAGATATATGATATTACTAGTTATTCCCGCGGTTTTACTCGCGTTAAATTTTAATATATAAATTTCAATAAAATATAGCCTATGTGTTATTATGATGCATAAGCTATATTAGAAATAGAAATAAATAGAAATAATCTTTATTCAAATAAACTCATTACAAGCACTTTTGAATAGTCATATTTTGATTCTACCACTCATTCGGAATGCAGATTCATCACAAGAAGAATGAGCAAGAAACTTGTGTGTTGCTCTTTTTAATAGATGTTTTTTTTTTATATAAATAATTACAGTATAACAAGTAAGAGGCATGCGATAATCAACATAGAAGTCGCTACGCACTCATTATTAATGTAATCAGATAATATTGTCAGTGCTATAGATTTAAAGTTTTTCTATAAAAACATTATTATCGTTAACGAATTCTTCAATTTTATAGTAAGCTTTTTTGCAAAGGAACTGTTTTATTTGACATTTAAATCTTTTTTCTGGCAGATTTATAACAGACTCTGGTATTTTATTGTAAAACCTTACGCAATTGCCATAAAACGAATTACTAACTTTTATTATTATTATAGAATTACTATATTTTATTATTGCAAAGTTTCATGAAAATCCGTTTAGTAGTTTTTGCGTGAAAGAGTAACAAATATCCATACTCACAAAACTTCGCGTTTATCATATTATATATATTAATAATTTTGTAATGCAACTGTTAACATACTGTTTTTAATTTTTCTCTGTGTTCAATACATATACGATTATTAATATTCATTCGTTTTTTTTTTATTAAATAAATAGCTACTCAGCCCGGCTTCGCACGGGTGTACATGTATTATATATATAAACCTTCCTCTTGAATCACTCTATCTATTTAAAAAAAACCGCTTCAAAATCCGTTGCGTAGTTTCAAAGATTTAAGCATACATAGGGATGGACAGACAGCGAAAGTGACTTTTTTTATACTATGTAATGTTAATTATTTTAAACACAACTAGAAGTACAGATGGATGTTTGTTACTATTTCTTGAAAGAAGTTTCTAGATCACATCCATATCCTAATTTATGTGGGCAGCGCAGCGGGATGTAGGCTAGTTTATTACAATTAAATAGATATATACAAAGTGGTACTGCTAGCTGAAAGGTCCCAGATTATCGCTGGTTAGAGTTACAAAGTCAAGAAACGTCTGACGACATTGGCCGTATCTAGGAGTACTGCCCTATTTTATTATTATTATTTTCTCGAACTTGACAAATGTATTTAATTTATTAAAATACATTTCTATCTCAGTGTGTCAGAATAATTTATTTTATGTTAATTTTTTTAAGGTTTTGTGTTATTGAAATTGATTTTAAATAGGTGCGTGAAAAAAAAGAAATTAGCTCATTTTTATTGTTAACTGAATTAAAAAAAAAGTAAGTTTATCGTTTTTCTTATTTATTAGTTTAAATTATTTAAACTTATAGATTACTAAGTATTAAACGAAATTTTAAAACTTTTATTACGTCGTCTGTCTGTCTGTCAGTACAAAATATTATTGAATTACATTATTATATTTTATTGTATGTTATAATACAATAATATAATTCTAGATTATAATATAAGTTATGTTCATATTTTTATTTTTTTTATATTTATTTTAACTCATTTTATCGTATCCTTTAAATAAATGGTACTAAATACAATTTAATTCGATTTTATTTCATTTTAATTTTCACTATTCACGTGATATTATTCATGAATTAAATTATTTATTAATTAATTTCTTTTATATGTCTTATAAAAGAAGTAAATGCTTTATATTAAATGTAAATTAATTTTTAATTAAATTTTCACTAAATATCACATGACTTTGTAAATGAATTATATTATTTTCTAAAATACTTTTTATATTAGACTTGGCAGATAGATCGATGGTTAAATCTATTATCCGAAGATTACGCATAAAGAAAGTAAATACATTAAATTAAATGTAGGTTAATTAAGTAAGTTAATTATTAATTATATTTAATATTATATTTTCAGTAAATTTTACACGACTTTGTAAATTAATTAGATTGTTTTCTAAAATACTTTTTTATTAGAGTTAGCAGATAGATTGACGGTTAAATGTATTTTAATTAAAATTTCACCAAATTTCACATGACTTTGTAAATTAATTGGATTATTTTCTAAAATACTTTTTTTTTATTAGACTTAGCAGATGGATCGATGGTTAAATCTAATATCCGAAGATCACACACTCGTACACAAACACACACTTACTTTTGTATATACGAACACAGACAGAGAGTAACGTGTTTCGCGGCCGACTGGCTGTATCTTCACGGATTGCATCTTATATAGTTGATCTTAATTCTATGTTGCATTGAGCAAGGATGCGCCGTAGTGGGGCAAGTTTCCGGGTCGGCAGACATTATTCCGGAATTTCGGCATTGAAAAGGGTTGATTTGTATAATTGGTCTCCAATTATTTGATGGTTCATCGATTTTCGTACCGTCGCCAATTCAGGGTTAACGCAGTGCAGTATTTTGCATAATTATCGCCTCTTGAGGCTTTAACTAGAGATTTTTTAGTTTCATTAATGTTTTTAGCATAAATGGATACTTGAAATTACCATCGCTAGTTACATCTAGATAGAGTCGCCGTAGTGGGGCAAGTTTCCGGGTCGGCAGACATTATTCCGGAATTTCGGCATTGAAAAGGGTTGATTTGTATAATTGGTCTCCAATTATTTGATGGTTCATCGATTTTCGTACCGTCGCCAATTCAGGGTTAACGCAGTGCAGTATTTTGCATAATTATCGCCTCTTGATGCTTTAACTAGAGATTTTTTAGTTTCATTAATGTTTTTAGCATGAAGGGATATTTGAAATTACCATTGCTAGTTAGATCTAGATAGAGTCGCTGTAGTGGAGCAAGTTTCCGGGTCGGCAGACATTATTCCGGAATTTCGGCATTGAAAAGGGTTGATTTGTATAATTGGTCTCCAATTATTTGATGGCACATCGATTTTCATACCGTCGCCAATTCAGGGTTAACACACTTTAGTATTTTGCATAATTATCGCCTATTGAGGCTTTAACCAGAGATTATTTCGTTTCTTAAAGTTTTTAAATTTATATTAAACACTTTGAAAATTACTACTGTTAGTTATACCTAGGTAGTCTTTAAACGAATACCAATAAGTAGTTATCAAATCGTCTCTTATTTTGCCTGTTTCGTAATAATAATTAGACAGTGAATAAACTTCCATTTTAGCAAAATACTAAGTTTGTGCAAAGTCGTGTTCTTGGGTAAACTCGGTTAACGTAACGCATTCAATCTTTGTGCAATCAGATAAAATTTTCAGCACCATGAAATTGTAATTTTTGGTACAAAAATATTATTATCATTTATAAACTCAGATCTTGATTGAATTTGAGATGAAGATAGATATATTAGAGTAGGACGAATATAGTCTATCTTTTATGTCAAAAAATCAGAACAAGTCAGACCATAACATCTACTTTCTGAGAGAGAGACGAACTTCTTAGCATTCCATGTATTCACCATGCGGGTGCCGGGTCCATCGTGTGGCAGAGAGGGAAACTCCGAGCAGTTCCCGGGAGTTGTGATCCGGGTGTAGATTTAAGGAACCCCTTTGCGTAAATATAACTTATAATAATGAGAAAAACAAAGGACTCGTACAAAATACAATAAATTCTTCTGCTTTGTAAAGCCAAAGTCATTTCAAAATGTCAATTATATATAGCATTGAGGCGTATGTCTTTCTGTACGTTTGTTTCTAAACGGGTGTGGCATAGTGCTACAAATATCATGACGCGAGAGTTTAGTTCATAAGTCGTAACCTTTTACTATATAGGTTTATAATACATAGTGAACCATCGATTAACAAAACGTTTACTATAAACCTAAATAGGAAAAACTATAAAGTAACGATAGGGATAATAACAGGCCATTGTCCCGGAAGACACAGCGTGGGAAGGCCTCCAGCAAGGTGGACCGACGATCTGGTCAAGATCGCTGGAAGGCATTGGATGCGAGCAGCGCAGGACCGATCGTCGTGGAGATCTTTGAGGGAGGCCTATGTCCAGCAGTGGACGTCTTCCGGGCTGCGATGATGATTGTCCCTTTAACAAACACTTGCTAACAATAGGTGAGAGTCCCGTTTGTCGGGGCTCCTTTGAAGTCGAAAACACGGCCGCTGACGTGATCCTGGAGTGCTTGGGCCATACAGCGAACACAAATCCTCGGAAGGGTGAGGTCGCTCCGTGAACCCTGTGAAGACATCAGGCAGCTTCTGCGTTTCTGGCAGGACCTTGGCTGGCTACTTTAGTGGTCTACTCTATAGGAGTTAAAAACCATCGCTCCTAAGAATATCCTTCAGTTCTTGTCCCTCACGGGTCTAAGTAGCGAACTTTGAATAAGGGCGAGCACTATAGATCTATACAGGTCTTAGCATCTGACAAGAGCCCAAACCTCCCAATAAAATAAAATAAATGTAGTCTCCGATCAGAGTCCTAAATGCGAAGAATACAGTCCAACTTACAGTAATTCTAGACTATAGAGGTAGTCAAATCAGCACATAATCGACTACATACGGACCAAATATAACCTGACATTAAGGGTGACGCAGCTGGAATCGAGTCCTAACGCGAGTTTGAAATCGTTTGTGGTCCGAGTTCCCACCAACATGCTGACCACCTTCATGAAGAATGACTACCAAAGGGTATGGTGTATCGACGCTACCCTGGTTGATTGCCGTCATCAGTGCCGTGACCACACAGACAATTTATATTTATTTTTCTATTAATTTTAATATGAAAATTCAAATATCTGCATTCATGTAGGTCTATTACAGACTCTTATGATATGTCATATATACCGTCAGTATAGTACCATCAAAAAAAGTTTATTTGCGATCGTTTTACCAAAAAAAAAATGTAATGACTATTCAAAAGTGCTTCAATGTAAGTTTATTTGAATAAATGATTTTCTATTCTATTCTAATGGATTATCTCGCGGAGATACTAGTAACAAGCGAAATTCTGTTTTAAACGACGTCAAAGGCCACAAACTATGAGAACCAATTGTGTTTGTTACAATCAAGTAAACACGCCGATACAATGTGACAATGTATTGGAAAAACAAACAGACAAAAACTACTAGCTTTGTCGATTAACAGTTTGGTATAAATGCAATACTGCTTCAAGTAGTGGGAGAAACTTTAGTAATGACACATTGTAATCTAAATTAAATATTGTAATGGGTGAAAACTGTGATGTTCAAATTCAAATTCGTGTAGGACATTTTAGCCGCTTATGAACGTCAAGTTTTTACATTATATTTTTTCCCTACCGTCCAGTTCGGTATATAGATCTAATTGAGAAGAACTGGCAAGAAACTCAATTGAATTACTTTTTTTTTTTAAATCCAGTTATTTACAATGCATAGGTATTTATATAGGTGTCTATGTCTAACATTAAATGAAAATCCTGTACATGAATACTATTGCCATGCACGCTCGTCATTCAAGTAATCATTTAGTGAGTAATAGGCCTTGCCCAGTAAATATGATTTAACAGATGTTTTGAAGTCATGCTTGCTATAAGCTCAAACTTGTGGCGGCGTGGTTGCCCGGGTCAATGTACTCCCACTAATATGGTTGAGTGCAATGATGGCTGAGCTCATCCGTCATACTCGTGAACGCGTGCTGCTTGTTGGGACTGGTCTGTTCGTGTTACGAACTGATTAGACTATTTGCTTTTGCAATAGCATATGCAGGTGGTCACTCTATTCTACCAAATTTGGGTTTAAAAATGAATCTGTATTATAAACCTTTACCTACAACATTTATTTGTAAAGAATACGAGCTGAGTTTCTTGTCAGTTCTTCTCATCTCGAAATCATTCCGAACTGACGGTAGATTTGACATAGGACAAGAGTCTGTAATAGAATTAAATGGATAAAGATAAGTTGATTTGAATTTTTTGAGGATTGAATTTTGAATTATATGTATAATTATATATATACTTAATAAGTAAGTATAATTATATAATACCTTCAACTATTAGAAAGAAAATAAATAACGAGATGACTGCGAACTGGGATGAATGGTAGAGAAAAACTACAATGGAAACAATTCAAAAGATTCAAATACTGTAAAAATCGGTGAGAAGTTTATTTTCTTAAATAATTAAATCGGCTTCGGTGGTCTAGCGGATTAGCATACTGCTTTACTTCCGATGGTCGCGGGTTCCATTCCTCGTACGGTGCAAATATTTGTATTCGTAAGTATGTTTGTATCGGTCTGGGTGTTTTCTATGTATATTATGTAAGTATTTATATCAGTTCTCAGTACCCATATTACAAGCTCTTACTTACTGCTTACCATGGGACTAGATGGCTTTGTATTAAGTGTCCAAGATTATTTATTACTAGCTGTACCCGTGACTTCGTCCGCGTGGAATTTAACTTAAATTTTCCAAAATAAATGCAGTCTAAGTTACTCCTTCTTACAGCTACCTGTCAAAAAAAGTCCCGCCAAACCTCCGTCCCCTTAGGAGTGGAATTTATCAAAATCCTTTCTTAGGGGATGCCTACGTCATAGTAGCTTTATGCATGCAAAGTCTCAGCCCTATCGGTTTAAAATTGACAAAGTTTTATATAAACTTTCATCCCCTATTTTATCCCTTTGGGGGTAGAATTAATCAAAATCCTTTGCTTAACGTCATAACATTTATCTGCATGCCAAATTTCAGCCTGATCCGTTCAGTGGTTTGGGCTGTGCGTTGATAGTTCACTATATCAGTCAGTCACCTTTGAGTTATATATATTTAGATATACTCTTTATTGCAACAGATACAGAAAATAATAAAAATAATAAATTAACACAAACAGTTACAAAAGGCGGTCTTATCGCTAAGCAATCACTACCAGGTCGCCTTTGGGTAGAGAAAGTAATGATAAGAAATATAACATAAAAACTTATGTAAATTATTGATATCTATATATAGATACATGTTTCGTCATACTTTGAGTAAAAACAACATATGCATGATAACAAGCATATGGATAAACTAGGCCTATGCACGACAAAAATCTGCAGATTTTGCAAAACTGAAGAGGAAATGCCACATCCTATGTGGTCGTAGCCCACTCATGCATAAACGAAATATCTCCTTTGGAAAGTTTACACTCCATCCTGAGGAGATAAAAACCATCGCTCCTAAGAATATCCTTCAATTCTTGTCCCTGACGGGTCTAGGTAGCGAACTTTGAAAAAGACCGAGCACAATAGAT